AAATAAAATTTTGGTTATCATGAAAGGCATAAAAATTGTATTAAAAATTCACAAGTTTGAGAAATTAATTTAAATGTATCAAAAAATATAATTATTTTAATTATATATTTATTGATTAAATTTAAATATAATTATTTTAATAGGGACCTTTATCTGAGAACCCATACAATTGTGATAAATTTGAGAACAGTGCACCATGTGCTATTTCACATGTATTTTTTTCGCAATGTGCAAATTTTTTATATGTTTGTGAAACAAAAAATACAACTAAAAAGTTTCATATTGTGAACCGAATACATATGAAACAAACACATAATGAAAAGAGTATATGTTAATCAAAATATTAAATTGAAACCTTAGATGGAAAAAATCATGTGAAATGACACCTTACGATAATAGTTCTCACAGTTTTTAGAATATATGATGTTCTCAAATGATTAAGACCCATTAATTTAATTGTACTAGTAAATAAAACTAATAGAGTATGAAATTTTTAAAAAATTCTAAAATTAAAACTGATAAAGTACGAAAAACTTTTGAAAAAACAGGTCATGGAAAAATTTGGCCGTCCCCAAGGTATATATATACAAGTTTTGTACTGAGCTTATATAGAAAAATTTGGTAATTACTTTAGTAAAATTAGTTTTTGGTAGATATTGGGACCAAGTGTATACATTAAATTTCTTGATATATGAAATATATGGTTGTATGAAAATGTGATTCTGAGATGTTACATTTAGAATCAATCCTCATCTTTTCAGTGAACTACTTCCTTTCTTACGTGACAGCTATAGTCCCACATTGTCACTTCCTTTACAAACTAAACCAAAAAACACAGGGTATATTCGAAGAGAAAAGATATTTCTGGCACAATTTCCGAGAGACTAAATGATTGTTAAGGTGTTCATCAGTTCAAAACAATCTCAACAAGGAGAACATTAGAATTTCTATCAATAATTGGATCTAAAGAGATAACTCAAATTTGAATGTAATCATCCCATATATATATATATATATATATATATATATATCAATGGATCAACACTGATTGATGGTTCATATGAGTTCTCTGTTTCTTTTTTAGGGTTCTCGACATAGTACCCCATGTGTGTGTGTGTGTATATATTATAAAGCATTTGACAAGAACTCTTAGAAACTACTTTTTATGCGTAAAGTACTTTTTATGCGTAAAGTACTGTTTATTAATGCATATTACTTAAAACTCAAGATTACAAGTAGATTGTGC